TGGATACTTGGAGGTTCTTCCTGTGCCTCCCTCCCCCTCGAGGCTTCTGTTTGGACGGAGGAGGGGGGTCATCGCTCAGACCTCTCTCCAGGCTACACTGTTCACAGGATGACAACAAATAGTGCTTGTCTGGCTGCCTTGTCACGGACAATATTTGCTGAGCAAATACTGCCCTGCTCGGCGCCCAGGTGAGTGGAGAGGGACATGAGTACTGTCAGGGAGTGGGGTGCGGGGAGCTGCGCCTCCTCTCCTGGGAACGGCCTGTAGCAGGCTGGCCCAGTCCGGGGAGCCTCCACCAGCGCCCCCACCTGCAGCACCTATTTGAGGGACCAGCATCTGCCGGGCTTGGGGCCCCAGCGATCATCACTCAGTTAACAGCTTCCATCCTTTTCCTGGAGCCGGGGGGCTCGTGGGCCTGTGAGCCCCAGCAGGGAAGGTGCCCCTCTCCCTGGGGTCTGCCGGTCTGGGGCAGGCTCAGGTCAGGTGCTGGCAGCCAGGCAAGGTGGCTCAGGGACAGGCCTGCCGCTTCCTGTCCGGGCAGGCGATGCACCGCGGTGGGGCCCTCCGGTCCTGCCCGTGTGGTGTGGTGGCCGTGCCCAGCTGTGTCCTGGGAAGAGCTTTCTGCCTTCATCCAAACCAGGCCCTCCCCTGCAGCCTCTGAGAGGGGTCAGACCACCCCCCTTCCAGCAGGCCTCTCCCGCCGGACGCCGGCTCCCACCGGCCGGTCAGCGCCTTTCCGCTTCTGCCCTGGTCTGTGTGTCTGCTGGTCCCTCTGCCCGCGTCGAAGTTTGGCACCTTCGGGCCTCTGAGCAGGTGTTCCTCGAGGGGCCCTCCTTCCTCCCTCCACTGGACCCCTCCGTGACTTCACATGCTCTCCTTCCTGTGGTCCGCTCGCGCTCTGCTGGGTGGCTATCCCCCCGGAACTTGTGAGCGAGGGGTGAACAGGCACCGCTCTGTCTTGTGCGTCCCCTGTGGGGTCCCAGGGCCCCGTGCACATTTGTGGAGTCATCGAGTGGACAAGCGCGAGGAGAACCCGGGGTTCTGGAAGGCTGATCTGATCCTCAGGTCCATGGGCGTGCCCTGGTGACACGAGCCTGGGGCCCATGCGATGCCCCCCTGCCTCTGGGGCACTGACAGTGCAGCGTTTGGGGTGTCTGTGGGCTCCCAGGCAGGTCCCAGTGGGAAGAGCCTGCTCTATGTCACTCCCCGCCCCTCCTCACGCCTCTCTCTGCCCTTCTGAGCCAGGGAGGGGCTCCCCGCCTTGGAAAGTCCGGGGCTTCTGCAGGAGTCGTGGCGTCTAGATTGGCACTCTGGTTGGTAGGTTGGCACTCTGGTGGGGCCTCATTTTTTGCTAAAGTGCAGTGGTTCTCCCCAGACACCCTTAGCCAGCATGCAGTGAACGTGTGCTCTCGCAGGTACTGCCTGTGCCTGCTTGTCCCCCTGCAGCGATAGGTATACTGAGGCCTGAGGCCATGAGTCAAGGCCCCAGCCTGTCCGGGCTCCAAGCTCTGCCCACTCAGGAGGTAGGACCCGCGTAGAGAAGAGGGTCCGTTTCCCTAGAGTCCTCGCCCGTGTCCTGAGGATGCAGGCCCCAGACCCCTGCAGCCCAAACACTCCCTATCCCTCTTCCCTCTGCCCCAGGCAGACCCCTACCCCTCTGTGTCCCGGACACACACCCCTACCCCTGTGCTGAAGACAGTCCCTACAACTGCGTGCACCTGTGTCTGCCCCAAGGGAAACCCCTGTGCCTGCCTCGGGGTGGGGGGCTGAGAGGATCCCAGCACGTCAGTACTGCAGCCCAGCGGGGAGTCCATCGTGTGGCAGTATTGTTGGCTGGGAGAGTGGGGAGCTGGGATTGGGCCCCACCAGCCAGTGTGTTGGAAGCCCACGCTGTGGGAGCCTTGATCTGGGGGGCCATGTGCCCAGCTCACTCCTCCCACAGGGGCATCGGGCTGAGACCTTGCGATGGCCAGGCTCAGCGAGGAGCGCTGGTGGTGGAAAAGCCTGTGCACCTGCTCTTCAGATGGGGAAACTGAGGCCCAGAGAGGGCGAGCTCTTTGTAACCATGGGACGAGGTGGCACCAAGCCTGGGACCCTGTAGGATGGGACCCCGTAGGATGGCCTTGGGCTGCTTCTCCACCCCCGGAGAGCTCTCCACCCCGCTGAGAGCTCTCCACCCCGCTGAGAGCCCACGGCTGTTGGGCTGCATCTTCCAAAGCCATCGCATGGCCCGTGGCCCACGTGGGTGCCCTGCTCACTGTGGGCTGGGGTTCCTGCACGTCACCATCTCCTGTTTTGTGGGTCAGCGCCTAATGTGGGGGAGATGAGGCCGGAAGCAGTGAGGGTGCCGGCCGGCCGAGAGGGCGCTGTCCTCGCTCCCACTTTGTAGAGGAGGGAGCCGAGGCGAGGCCCAGGGTGAGGTCCCCATCCAGGGCCCACCCGCTGCAGCCTGGTCCACAGAACCATGACACCCCCCCCCCCCCCCCCCCCCCCCCAGTATGGGCTACGTCTTCCTGATGGTCTTGGGGAGGAGTCTGAGCTGGGCAGGCGGAGGGTCCTGACACAGATGCCACAGCAGGTGCCCTGCTGCCTGGGCTGCTACCTGGGCTCTGGGAGGGCCGCCCCTCAGCACCATGGGCGTTCACACTGGTGTGCAGGGCCGTGGCCCCACAGGCGATCGCAGGGTCTGCTGTGTGTCCCCCCTCCGCCCCCCCAGTCACCACACATTCCTCGTGGGAGGTGGACCCTCAGAGTGGATGCTCCTGAGGTGGCCCTTCGCGGCTGTGGCCTGTCTGCTTGCTGCTCGTCCCCACCCCAGGCTCGGGTGTCTTGCACCCCAGGCACGTGGGCAGGGACCATCTTCTGTCCCCCCAGCCCACTCCTCTGCTCCACTGTGGCAGGGTGTCGCAGGCCTCGGTTTCCCTGTCTGTCTGTCACCTGCTCCCCAGCGCCCGATGGCAGGGGGTGCAGAGCCGTCAGTCTCCCCCTCCCTTCCCTCTGCTGAGTGCCTGGAGGCCTCAGGTGCCCGGGGTTAGCACAGAGGCCGAGCCTCGTGGTGAGTGGGGTTCCCCATGGCAGGGTTTTGACAAGTGAAGGCAGTCGCTCTTCTGAGAGGTGGTGCCAGGTCCGCCCGCCCAGGGTCTGTGCGGTTTGCTGACCTGGCCCACCTGTGTCCACTGGTTCCTGTTGGTTGCTGCCCCCCCTCATTCGTACCTGGCAGATTGTGGGGTTCCCATAGGTTCTGGCAGTTCCGTGGTGGCCACGTCAGCCCGGACTGCAGTGCTGTCCCTGCCCACCTTCTCGTGTCCTGTCCCGTCCCTCTGGTGGGCCTCTCCCCTCCATGTGGGGGCGTCAGGCCTGCCAGCCGGGGGGCTGTCCTGTAGCTGGGGTTTGGGCGCAGCTGGTCTGCGGTTGCATCGTGTTTGCAGGTCCTGTGTCAGGGGCGGTGGGGTGCAGGGGCACCGTCAGCCCCTCCACACGGGACAGAGTCGGGTCCCGGGCCCAGCCCACCTGTGGTTCCATTAGAGACGCTGGTCGCAGTGGGGAGGCAGGTGGTGAGAGGGAACCCGTGGGACCAGCTGCTGGGAGCAGGGCCAGCAGGGCGGCCGCCGGGAGGCCCACCTGGGATGGGAGCCGCCTCCCTCACCGCCCTTGGCAGCCCTTGCCCGGATGTGGCTGGGTTGTCCCCTGGGGGCCTGTCTGTGGTGGCCCTGGGGCAGGCCGTGCTCCCTTGTGCTGGGGTGGCCTTGGGAAGGGCTTCTGGCCAGCAGGGCGCGCTCTGGCCCCTCCCTACTCGCTGAGCATTTACTGAGCGCTGACCACACCAGGCCCAGTGCCTCTGTGGGACCTGCCCCGGCAGGGGAGCAGACAGGTGGCTAGGCCGGCAGGTGCCTGACCAGGCTGTCAGGTCGGGGGCGGGGGGGGCACTGAGGCCAGTGGGGCTGTGAGGCCTGCGACCCCGGTTCACAGCTGCTTCTACTCCCCACGCAACCAGGAGCCCGTGCCTGCTCTGGGACTGGTTTCCTCACCGGGACGAGGCAGCCCTTCTCTGAGCTGGTCCCATGTTCTTCTCTTTGTCCCCCATCCTGGGACAGCACCCCAAGAGCCTCCCTGCCCCCCACCCCCGTGGGCAGGGCAGGCTATAGTCCCTCCTTCCCTCTGGGTGACAGCCGCGCAGCAGCGGCAGCTGAGCAGGTCCCGGGCGGAGGGGAGCAGGGGCACGCTGCCTGGTGCCCAGTGAGGGCGGAGGGGAGGGGCTGGGTGTCCGGGCAAGAGGCTGGGAGACCAGAAACTGACAGGTTGGGAACATTTCATCCCCGTCGAGTGTGGGTCGGGGGTGGCCCAGGTGGTCAGCGCAGGGTCACAGTGACCATCTCCTGGATGGGCAGCCGGAGATTGGCCCAGGTGTAGTGAGGCAGGATCCAGAATCTTCCGGGGCAGGGAGGCCTTCTCGGGGGCGATGTAACACGGGGACAGCCGTGCGCCAGTGGGTGAAGGAGGTGCCTCCCAGGCAGGGGCCTTGCCTGGGGTCAGTAGATGCGCCTCAAGGAGGTGTGGGGAGAACTGTCCCGCACGCAGCACAGCTGGAGGCCACTGCACAGGGTCCCCATGCCAGGGCCAGGGGTCAGTGCCATGTGGGGTGTGGGAGGTGCGCGTCCTGGATGCAGGGGGTTGGGGAGTTGGGCCAGGCAGAGAGAACCCCCCTCCTGGCTCCCAGTGGGTGTGGTGGGAGGGACCCTGACAAAGGTTGTGAGTAAAAGCGGAGGGTGCCCTTGTGGCGGCTGAGGGGCCTTGGCAGTCTCTGAGGTCCCCCGATTTTAGCACCCCAAGTCCCACATCCTGGGAACCTGCTCAGTCCCAGACAAACGGGAGAGGACCACATGGAGGGAACCCTGCGGGGTCCTCTGTGCCCCAGGGGGCAGGTCTCGAAGGTGGGGCAGGGCGTGGGGGCTGCGGTGGGAGGTGTGAGCCATAGGGATGCCAGGGGGGAGGAACAGCCGCGCGAGGCCCTGGGCAGATGTGCGAAGGGCGTCCAGCCTGCAGGTGGGGCAGGTGGGATTGGCCGGAGCTCCTGCACCGAGTGGGTGAGGGCCTCTAGGTCTCCAGTCCAGGAGCTCTGGGGGACAGGCGGCCTCCGTGACCCACAGCCTCCTGGCCCCTAAAAGGAGGGGGCTCCAGGCCTGGCTGTGTCCAGGGGTGACATGTTCACCCCACAGGGCCTCCTCCCACAAGGGCAGGGCGTGAAGAGGCAGTCCGATTCCAGGCGTAGTGGGGTGCCCACGTGGCCAGAGGGGTAGGGCCACGCCTCTGCCTGCAGGGCCGGGGGCCTGGGCCCCAGGGAGGGGACATGGAGGTGGTGTTTGCCACTGTTCATGGCTTAGCTTCACAGTTGGTTTGTGGGTGCAGTTGGGAATGTTGGTGCTGTACGGTAATGATGCTTAAGGGGACCAAGCCATAAGGTGGCTACAGAGAATCGGTGGTTTCAGGCAGCGGAGCCACCTGGTGTCCAGGGGTGTTCCGGGTGCAGGGCCTTCAGGGCGGGGCCGTTGCCTCAGCCACCGGGGGTGGCGCACCGCTGTGCCGGCCCACCGTGTAGGGTCGCTCTGCATCCGGGCAGGGTCTGTGTGGTGGCATCTGCCCATCGGTCAGGTGTGCCCACAGGTGTGCCCACAGGTGTGCATGACCCAGGTGGGCTGCAGAGGTAGGTCTCTGGGTAGATGGTGCCTGGGCTCTGGGGCCCCATCTGGGCATCCCTTCAGGGTCTCCTCATGGCCGCCTCTGTCCCCTTCCGTGATGGTGGCAACAGGCCCTGGAACTGGCTGGGGGTCGTGGGGTACAGTGTCCAGTGTCACTGCCAGTTAACCTGCTCGTTCCGCCTCCCCCACAGAAGGACATGGCCCTGAAGCCACAGGAGCGGAAGGAGAAATGGGAGCGTCGCCTCGTCAAAAAGCCCCGGGAGTCAGAAAACGGTCCGCCGGCAGAGCCCAGTGAGAACGGCCGGCCCCCGGAGGTGGGCAGCCCCGAGCAGGACCTGGAGCCCACCTGCGACCGGGGGAAGAAAGTCCCACTGCAGCCCGCCAAGCAGGTGAGCGTGGCCCACCCCACTCAGAACCATGGGCACCCATGGGCCACACCAGCACCTGGACACCGCCTGTCGGCATCTGGGCCTGCCGGGCATGCATTCTGTCATTGTCGGGCATGGGGTGTGGGGCACAGGTGGACTGGGGCCGGGCAGTGCCCTCTGTGAGGCTGGATCCTGGGCTGAAGCAGGTGTGGGGGGCCTGAGGGTGCACCTGATAGGCTGGCCCCGTTTCCCCATCGCGTCCGTCAGGCTCCGCCAACCACGGGGTGTCCACTGTCTGTACCGCGTGGGGGCCGGGCTCATTGCGGGGTGCTCTCCATTGCTAAACCTGCGTGAAGCGCAGTGTCTGGGGCACTCGTGGCCGGTGGTCCTTGGTGGGGGGCTTTCTCCCAGCGAGCGAGCGAGCAGAGTGCAGGCTGTGCAGGTGCCTGGCAGGCTGCCCCTCTTCCGGCTCGCTGTTCACTCCCCTTCCAGGGAGGGTCCTCTCGGCGTGTCCCGCTCTCACTCACCTGGGGCTGGGCTGCTGGTGCGGGGCAGCATGTCTGGGCCGGGCTGGACGGGGGGTCTGCAGGCACACTGGCCCAGGTGGACACGTGCTCTTTCTTCCATGCAGGTGTGCTCCCCAGAAGGGGGGCCGCTCCCAGCCAACCCCTGGGACCAGACCAGCC